TGTGTGAGAGTGAATGAATAGTGGTATTGTAAAGTGCTTTGGGTGCCTTGAAAAGCGCTATATAAATCCAATCCATTATTATTATTTTTCTTATTCTTTAACATGTTCAATGTATCATTTTTGGCATGTCAAGTGTACACCACTTTGTATTCAGCTCGGGGCTGATCTGAAAGTGCTATATAAATAAATTGCTTGCTTGCTTGCTTGATTAAATGTGCCTGGGGAGAGCGCAAACCCTTGTGGCAAACGCTTGTATCTGAACCTCCGGCCCCTGTATGTAATTGAGAAAATGTCCCTCAGCGACTCGTGTAAGGGGAGAAAAAAAGAACGCTTTAGCTAGGTCAATGCGTGTGAACCACTTTTGGTCCCACGTTATGGCTGTTAGAGCTGTGTAAGGGTTTGGTACGGGCACAGTGTCAGTACGCAGTATGGCATTAATGGCTCTCAGGTCATGTGGCATTCGGTACTTTCCTTTCCCATGCTTTTCCACTGGCAAAATTGGTGTGTTCCAAAAAGATTGTGAGGGCTCAAGCACTCCTACTTTGAATAGCCCTTCAATGGTTTCTGCAATCCCACCTCTGCTTCAGGTTTGTGTCTGTAGTGCGGTCTGTTAATTGGTGCCTCCGAGCTGGAACAGCACAGGCGAACAGGTAGCTAGGCCTACGTCCGTGGGTCCTGCAGACCACAGTGTGACAGGCAGCTTTGAAAGTTCAGCAACCGCGTCAGGGTGATCAGTTCTCTCTCTGCCATGTGTTCTCGATATTTCTTGGTGTTCTAGTATCACTGCGTCATTTGACAGACAGGTGATATAATATGTTTTACAGGTTGGTGCGTACCAGACATTTGGAATTTGGGCGGCTTGCCACCAAGCACTGTCCAATGCCCGCCTGACCATTGATTCCATTTCCTACCTTGTACACTCGATAGACTGGTTCATGTTTTGGGCCCACTATCAGGGGCATAGACAATTCTGGGTGATCTGGGCTATCCTTGAAGTTCACTTCCTTCCTGCATTTTGGACTCTCCTTTGTTCTGGAATACTGACTGCCCTTGTCTTGGCCCATGTGGCTTCTTCCCTTTCCTTGGATCTCTAGTCAATGACTTACCTGAGCACAAAGGCATTGTGTCTGAGTCAGCTCCAGGTCCTGCCTCAGCGCCTTCAGCATTCTCTGTCCCTTCATCTGATGATGTCTTGTTGCCTTGGTCCTCTTCCACTGCTATTACTCTGCTATTATTGCATGATTTCTGCCAGAGCGTCTCGGTCGGCGTACATTTCCCCATACACGGAACCTGAGGGCAGCGGCGATGCTGCAGGCGGCGATGCTGCAGGCGGCGATGCTGCAGGCGGCGAGCTGGGCGGGCTCCTCGGGCCCCCCAGCAGACGAGGCATAAGGCTGGACGGGCGACTCGGGCCCTCCAGCTGACGACACTTGAGGCTGGACGGGTTCTCTCGAACCCCAGCTGACGAGACTTGAGGCTGGCTGGGTTCTCCCGACCCCCAGCTGACGAGACTTTAGGCTGGCTGGGTTCTCCCGAACCCCCAGCTGACGTGGCTTGAGACTGGATGGGCTCCTCGAGCCCTCCAGTGGAGACAGACACTGAAGCAGCAGGTACAGAGACCTCTGAGCAGCACAGTGGCTTGACTCAGGCAGCAACAGTGGGATGCAGTCCTCGGAGGGCAGAAAGTGTTCCCTAATACACTCAGCAGAGGACGGAGGCGGACGGGTGAACTCACTTGAAGCTCGTGGAGAACGAAATTCTGAGTCCAATAGCCAGGGATAACTGGAAATAAGGTGTTGTAGGTTGACTTCCACAGTGTAAAGAAACGCTTCTCCCTCATGCTCTAACCACAGGTTAATTAGTTTTGAAGCAGTCGATAACGGCCTCCTGAAGCTCCCTGGGTGGGCTCAATGCCGCTGGATCCATATCTGGCTGGTCCGTACTGTCACGGCGAGTGAGATGAGCCGTGTGGAAGTAATAAAGGAGGATCCAAATGCAGGCACTTGTAAAGGTGTGAAGGTGGTTTATTAAACACAAAATAAAAATGGACAAATGGCAAACGGAGGAAGGACTAAACTGTACTGGGAACAAACTAACTACTGGACACAAACCTGAACAAGAATTCGAGCGAGCAGAGGCAGACGACGGTTGACAGCAGGGAAAACACACGAGTGAGACATGGTGGATACACAGACGGACCAGCAACTACAATGACAGAAGACACGACTTAAATACACACAGAGAAACACAGGAAATTACACACAGGTGGTGGACACAGCTGGGAGTAATTAACGAGACGAGACAAGGGAGGTAATCTGAACACACTCACATGAGACGCAGACCTTCATAATAAAACAGGAAACAAGAAAACACTGCACAAAGACGCAGACACGACACTGAGACAGACTAGACACTGAACTAAACCTGAAATAAACATGAGAACACAAAACTTACGAACTAATCCCTAAACAAGAATAACTGAAACATAGATTCATAATCATCATCATAAGAAAAGAATACAAAATGCAAAAACACACGTACCGGTATCCGGTGCCATTATGGCACTGGATACCGGTACCCATTGCTACTTAGAGGTGGGTGGATCGATCCAGATATCAATAGTATGGATTGATGCTAGCGCGATAGGATTAATACTTCATTTAATCCTGAAGGTTCAATATGTAGACTGCTGGGCTAAAAACCCTGTTTAAAACTATATGCTTTATTGTAGATTACTAAGTGCTAATAAACTAATTACTGCGGAAAGTAACACTCATAAATCTTGACACACGGATCAACACTACACAAGCTACCTTTGTAAGTTGAACGTATCAGTATCGGTATTGGTATCAGTAATACTAGTTACTTGGTATTGCACAGCACAAACAGCCAGTTTGACTGGTTATGCTGCAGACCACACATACACACAGACAGGTACTTTTTGCACATGCACTTTCAGCAATTTATTTTCATATTGTAGCTGTTTGTTTATTTCTATCAGCACACCTGGTGACGCAGAACCTAAAGTGGGAGGCAGCAAAGTCTCCCACTGTCCTTTTGAGCGGGTTATCAGTCACTGTGTGATGCACAGTGTTGCTCAGTCACCCCTCCAAGTCCAGGACAGATAACACCAACTCTGAGGCACAGGTAGTTACACGCTCACCCCGCTGTTTAACAACAACAATATTAATAAAGATAGAGTAATGGCGATAAGGAGCTCTGAAACCTGACCTACATACAAACACATAAACTCAGTGAAGGTGACGATGTGTTAATCCACTCTCCCTCTCTCCGTGATTCACACACAGACCATGATGACGGTGACTGGAGGAGCGGAGACTTCTGACGTCAGACGAGGAGAATGACAAGCGCGTCCAATGAGGGGCCGAGGATGTGCAGCGCGAGGACGGAGCAGCCGACAGAAGGCTAATAACCATGCCAACGGAGGAATATAGCGCGCGCCGCTGACTGGGGGAGAAGCGCGCGCGAGAGACAGGGGGAAACCCCGAAAGAAGAAAATACTGAAAACACGTTCACGGGAAGTGGAGAATAAAGGAGGGCGGAGAGAGATACGAGAAGCAGAAGCAGAAGAAGAAGACACGGAGCGGGTAAATGTGTGTGTGTTTGTGTGTGTGTGGCGTGGTCTTCATCCATCCCACTTTCTCTCTCCCTCCTGCTCTCTCGCTCTCGCGCGCTGGCTCAGGGACTGCACTGCTGCAGCTGAATGAAACCGATGAAGGTATTTAAGCTTTTGTTCTGTCTTTGCTGCACACAGCCTGCCCTCAGTGCTGGAGGCTCGGCAGGGGCGTAAAAACAAAAAACAAAAACAAACAAAAAAAAAAAAGCATCGTGAGTGCTGTGTGCTGGGCTCTGGGGCGCACGAGCTCCCCGTTACCGCAGGGATGTGAGACCCCCCTCCTCCTCCCCCTCTCAGCTGCGGGGCTTTTGATGCTGGTGTAGGTGGTGGTGGTGGTGGGGACGGTGGTGACCTTCCCTGGACGTTTCCAGCCATTGACGGTGTGTGCGCGTGCGTGTGGGCGTGCGAGAGGAGGACTGAAGAATAGAGGAGGGGGAGGAGGGGTGAGTGGGGGCGTTGAGGTGGGAGGTACGAGAGGAGGGGGGACAGATTTTTTTTTTATGAATGGAGCTCCACATCTCTCTTTGGCGCACGCGGCTGCGAGTGTGTGTGTGTGTGTGTCGTTGTGCGTGCGTGCGTGCGCGGGCTGGCTGCTCTGCTGCTGGGCTAAAATTAATATGTGGATCAGAATCCGAATTAAGCAGCTTCTAAATGAAAACTGTGGGCGCACGTGCCCGTGTCTGGGCTCGCGCTCACACACGCCACCGGTGAATAGGACGGCAGCCGTGCCCCAGGACGTCATGCACCATTTTTAGAGACGCTCTAAAAATAGACAGAGTCGGTGATGATTTTGGTTGTCCGGACTCTGTCAGGTAGGAGCGAGCCAGACTCTCGTTATTGTTATTACTGTTGTTGTTGACAGTGTTGTTTATTTGGTGTATGTGTTGTTTTGCTTGAAGCCAAAATGGCAGGAAGAGTGCTGCCAGTTATGGAAGACTTGTCCTTGTGTGTGTATGTGTGTGTGTGTTCACACCTGCTGATAATTACCTGTCAGCGTGGTGCACGAGCTGCTGATGACGTGCATGCTGGAGGGTAAAAGTGCTAGGTCGTTTTCACGAGTTTCTGAATGGATGAAAAAAAAGTGATTTTCTTATTTGGTCTCTTTTGTGAAACGGGATGGCTGAGCACACATCCCTGCTCCTCCTCCGCCTCCTCTTCCTCCGCCTCCTCCCTGCTTTTCTCGTTTGTTTTGCCCTCCTCTCCCCGTCTCACGTCCTCTTCCACTCTTTTTGCTTTCCTCTCGTCCTCACTTCCACTTTCTTCTGAAAACTTCTTCCATCGTGTTTTTAACTCATCTCTCTGCTTCCATCTTTCTGCTATGTCACATTCCTGCACACAAACGCCTGCACCTCTGCTCCACCTCTTTCCTGACTCACCTCTTCCTTTCTTCCCTCCCTCCTCCCTCTCTCCAGCTATGATTCTCTCCCTGGCCGCGGCGGCAGCCATGAGTAGCGGTGGCGGTAGCAGCCTCAACTCCTCCTCTCCCCTCGATCCCTTCGACTCCTCCACCTCGTGGAGCCTGGTTGAGGACCCCGCCAACTCTTCGTCAGAACCTGTAGTGCAAACTGTGACCCCTGACCTCCAGCCAGCGACCACCGCCGTCGCTCTTCAGGAAGTCAGCCCATGGGACATTGCGCTTTGCGTGACGGGGACTCTCATTTCCTGCGAGAACGCCCTGGTGATCGCTGTGCTGTTTTACACGCCGACGCTCCGCGCTCCCATGTTCATCTTGATTGGATCGCTGGCGGTGGCGGATCTCCTGGCCGGCCTGGGCCTCATCTTGAACTTTGTCTTCACCTATCTGATCGACAGCTCGGTGGAGTTCGTGACATTGCTGTCCGTTGGACTGCTGATCTCGGCCTTCTCAGCGTCTGTCTTCAACATCCTCGCCATCACGGTCGACCGGTACCTCTCGCTCTACAACGCCCTGACCTACCACACTGAACGGACGGTCACCTTCACCTACGTCATGGTGGTCTTTATCTGGGTGTCGTGCCTCACGCTCGGCCTGTTGCCGGCACTGGGCTGGAACTGTCTGAGAGACGAGAGCACGTGCAGCATCTGCCGACCGGTCACTAAAAACAACGCCGTGGCTCTCGCCGTCACTTTCTTATTGGTCTTTGCCCTCATGATGCAGCTCTATCTTCAAATCTGCAAAATCGCCTTCCGCCATGCGCAGCAGATCGCGGTGCAGCACCAGTTTGTGGCCATCTCCACCACCAAAGGTGTCTCCACACTGTCGGCCATCCTGTGTGCCTTCGGGGCATGCTGGCTGCCGTTCGCCATGTACTCCATTGTGGCTGACTCCAGCTACCCCGTAATATACACCTACGCCACGGTCCTCCCAGCCACCTGCTGCTCTGTAATCAACCCCATCATCTATGCGTTCCGAAACCCAGACATCCAGAAGTCGCTATGGATGGCCTGCTGTGGGTGCGTCCCCTCCAACCTCTCCTTAAGACCCAGGACCTCCAGTGATGTGTAGCAGGGAAGGTTGGTGTCTCCTTAGTGTGATGCTTGAGGTCGAGTCAGGGTTGGAGGAACAAGAGGTGGCTAGGAGGAAAGAGGAAAGAGATTTCCTCTGCTTCTCATATCGGGGCAAGCTGATGGCGAACACTCAGCTGGCCGCTGTAGATGTGGCACCGGCGGCTGATGGAGAAGAGGACGATGCATAGTCAAAAAAAAAAAGAAAAAGAAAAACGATATGAAAGTTTGTAGCCTTGAGAAAACCAAAATCATGGATGGAGATGGTGTGGAAACCAACTGCAAACACCTGTTTAAGGTATCCTCATCATGGCTGTGGGAGCTGAGGCAGGCTGTGGGGGAAGTGTCAGGTGACTTTTCCACTGGCTTCTGTTAGGGCACGAAAAGTGAGTCCTGCTTCTCAAGAGTAGCATATATGTGAAGCTGAGATTTAGTAAGAAAGTTGCTAAATCTCTGCATGTCCTGAGGCTGGGCAGCACTGCATGGTTATGCAATCAGAAGGAGTGAAACAGTCTTAAAATACTTGTTTGTGTTTTTAACTGATGTGTTTGAAATTAAGTGGCGTGTGGATAAAAATACAATGAGCTAAATATACACAAGGAACGACCTTGAAAATTCACAATGAGCTACTTTCTCCTGGTAAAAAAACGAGAATATTTCCTCCCTGGAAACATTTTGAGCAATGTTTCCTTCAGCTGATGCAGATTAAGTAGCTGAGTCTTGCCCATTAAGCCTTTTCCCAATGCCAGAAGCACAGCCTTTATTATTTGTTTTTCCCATTTCGATGCAAGTTTCAGGAAAGAGTGAAAAAAAGCTAATCACACAACATCCCTCCTCAAACATTCAAATCCGAAATGAAATCTAATGTACCAGTCTCTGAATGCATAAACAAGCCCGGCTAGTTTGAAGAATCTAGAGAGGGATTTCCATATTTAGACTGGCATGTGTTGTCCTTGGTTCATTGAAATGAAATCTGCTCCGCAACGGAGAAAAATGGGTTTCTCAGCCTGCCGCTGTGCCGTGACTGCGAAGCAGAGAGAGCTGAATTCAGCACCAAGGACAGCGTCACTGCAGAGCGCTGCTACCCTGGGAATGCTCTCTGCTGCGGGGAGGGAGAGCGCCGGAAAGTAGGCTACGCTGTTCTTTACACCCTCTTTATGGGGAAATGTGAGACGGGCCTTAAAGGAGCATTTCAGCATGATTGGAATTTCTTTCACCCTTTTGTCCACCCCTGGATGGATAAAGGTATTTAAAAATTTGTGTTTGCTAAAACTCTTCTGTTATGTGATTGCTTCAGTTTCAAAAAGACATGCAGAACAACATTAATAGTGCTAGTTAATCACTGTGGCACAAGAGAGCACAAAAGACATTTATGATTAGTATCAATAGCTAACATCTGCAAACCTTATGTCTCGGTTTGGATACTTCCATACACTTTGCATTTTACGCTATGTCCTTACTTGCATAGTGTTTAAAATTAAACGTGGTAATGTTATTTCAAACTGACCACAGCAAGCTGTATACTTTCCAGAAATGATGACTGGACATTGATCGGAGCCTGACTGATCTATCAGTGGGATGATATAATCAGCTTTTTGGTATTGTTGTTTAAAACGGCGGATAAATTAAAATTTAACAAAGATTTGATGGGAGAAACTCCAACTTCAAACTTGTTATAAGTGTTGAAGATTTGTTCACCAGAGGGTACTCTGCAAGTAACCTGTTGGCGACATGTGTTTGGAACACCACAAATACGACAATCAACTGATTCAGACAGAGACAGGCAGAGCGTAAACGGGTAAATAAATAACTACATATAACAAATGTTTAAAAAGTCTGTTTAGATTTCATGTGTCTGACAGAATTTTTTTTAAAATATATATCGGAATTTCAGATTTTTAAATGACCAAATATTGGCATCAGTATCACTGTCAGTGTATAACAGTGATGATCCCACTAGCTGCTGCAATCTGTGAACATTTACTACTCCCTTAGCAGCTGACCGCACATACGACAAGATTCCTCTGCAATAAAGAAACTGATTTAACTTTCATGAACAAGTAAAGCAAACCAAAGTTGGTCTCGTGAATGCTATTTAGCTGGCTAGCTAGCATTGGGAGCTAGCATCGTTGCTTGGAATGTATTTCCTTTCTGTCATATTGCTGTCTGAAATGTTTTGGCCATTTCTTCTACCATGTAGCAATATTTGGGGTGGAAAGTGTAAATAACACTACACCACATCAAAGCGTACTAAAGATTTGCTGCTCGTTCTTTAGCTGGCCTGTCATTGTTGTATTAATGTATTGATTTTTTCTGAGGGGTCCTGTTCTTTTATTACGCGGCAAAAATGGCGACTATTTTGAAGAAGAAGGGTAAAGAACACCACACGACATGTACTGCAAGTGCATAATAAATGTTTGCTGCTAGCTATTTAGCTGGCAAGCCAGAATTGGCCTGACATAGTTCCTTACAATGTATCAGCTTTCTGCTGTTTAAGAAATTTCTGATGATGTATCATCCTAAGCTGTTTACACACTGGAAGTGTCCGCATCAACGTGGTGAACACACTCCACAGAAAGCGAAGAAAATTTAGCAACTATGGGCGAAACAGCTGCAAGCAACGTAAAGTGGATGAGATCTGAGATAATCTTTTTTTAAAGCCCAGAAGGGACTACCAATGTGAACTAATAAGAACACAGGACACATATGACCTGTTAGTAAATGAGTTAGAGGGGCAACCGCAGCCTGGAACACCTACAAGCTGTCAGCTTCAAAGCGATGTGCGTCAAGCGAATCACTTACTTTTATGCATGAAATACAAAGTATGGAAGTATCTGAGACACAGCTATGGTAAAAGTTCAGCACTGTTTAAGACCAGCATATTATAAGCCTAATTTGACCCCTGCCAGGCCAGTTTTTAATTATTTTTTAGATAAAAGCTACAATCGTTATTTTAGCCAAAGTGTCTTTTTAGCATACTCTTGTTGTTTGATGTTTCGACACATAAAAAACTATCAAAAAACTTTAAAACTGGATTAAAGATCCAGAAACATGGCTAAATTACTTCTCTGATGGAAACTCTGTCTATAATGCACAATCATGAATGTATTTAAATATCGGCCTCGATATCAATCTTAAAATATTTCCAGGGGTCAGTCAATCAAAACAGAAGCTTTAAAAAATTACTCCAGTCATGCTCAAATGATCCAAAAAAATCCACTCGGGGTCCTGCCATACCACCATGACCCCGTCCTCTCTGTCCCCGTGTTTGCGATCAGCAGAAATTCCCGTCGTCACCGGGAAAGGTGAGAGCAGCTGATATTTTTCTGAGGCGAACAGGACCTCTGTGTTTTTCTGCAATCTCCATAAAGCTGTTTTGGCCATGCGGCTCTAAAGTTAGACGGCACTCTGGCTCCACAGCCCAATTGATTTTACATTAGCCGAGCTGAGCACAATCCATATCGAAAAGGTCGTTTTTCATCGGGGGCAGCTTTGGTCGGCTACGCTACGTTTTAAGTCATACTTGCGATTCTTGCACCTCTGAAAATAAATTAAGAATGGATGGGTTTTGTATTATTGCTAAATATTTGTAATGCTTATGCTTAAACACTCATAGATGTATGTCATAGATTCAGGGGAAATGGCAAAAGTCTATATATTAAGAAGGAAACAAAGCACCATATGGCGAAAAATTCTCTGGCTTCCATTTTAATTTCCCTATGTGCAGCCTGTCAGCAGTAGCTGGGTACCTTCTGCAGACATGCACACAGTCTCACCCCGCCTTGAAGAAGCAGTGCAGCTCCGCCGCGGGCCACCTCTGAAGGCTCGGCAGGTTAATGAGAAGCAAGAGAGGTGAGGTGACGTGGCGTGAAATAGAAACACCAGGCGAGACGCGCTTTAACGCAACCTCAGGTCACGTCCACCATGCACCCAATCAGGATGAAGTTATTTCCCCACTGAAAGGGCATCATGCACCGTAAATCCAGCTAATGATAATAATATCTGAGCAGTAATGGTACAGGGAGCTGGCCTAATGTACAGAGAATGCTGTGAGGATGAGTTGGAGAAGGGATTTATTGCCAACCTCAATCTGTATTTAAATGATCTACGGAGATACTTTTCACTTTCGTGTTCCTCAGAGCAACCTCGGAGAGAGTTTCAATGACTAAGCTGCTGGCATGCTGCTCATATACATGTGTGGGAGGTGTGCTGGCTTTGGGAAAATAGTTTATGGAAACTGGGCTGTAGTTTCGAACTGCAACAGTAAGACTCAGCACAGGAAAAAAACTGTGTAACTACAGGGAGTCACTTCCAAATTCAACGCTTTCTACCAAATAAATCACAACATTATGGCGTGAAAGCAAAAAACACACATGTACTCAATGAAACTCTGAAAATGGCGCACAGGAGAAGCAGGTATTTTCTTTTTCTATGATGTAAATTAAAGCTTAGAGTAGAAGTATTTTCTACTTTTCTTGGCAGGAAGCAACAATCAGTTGTTTTTGCAGCAGTTGTTAGCAGAACAACAGCCACACGAGTTTCTGTCAATGATTTCCTTTGGAAACGGCAGACTCTCTTGTGTCTTCTTTTGATTTCTATTTGTTTGGTTTTGGCCTTATTGGAACAACAAAAACTCCTTCGCAATAATGTCCAACTGTGTTTTGCTGTGTACAAAAAGCCACAAGCGAGAAATGGAGAGAGAAAGAGAAGCGGTCGGCTTTGGAAGATTTGCAGAATAACTCAAAGTAAATGTTTCAAGGCAACAAATGGCACATTGGGTTTTATTGGAAAGAAATATGATCCTGGCTGCCTGGTCGGGGTTTTCTAAAAAGCATGGAAAACCTAATGAGTAAATAAATGCTCAACTTCTTTTCTTAGCTCATCTACTGCAGACAGAAACCTCCAAAATAAAATGCATCTGCAGCCATTTTACTAATTTGATAATTTAATTATAAAACCACCAGTTGAACAAGTTGCCGGTGCGACCTCTTCCCTTCCTCTCTCTTTTGCTCAATCACTGCATTGATGGAACTGCCTAATGGTAAACCACCTGCATCAATTATTAAGTGAAATATTTTCAATTACTCTGAGGCTGGAAGCATGATGTGGATGAAATTTGGCACTCGGTGAACCGCAGCAGTGCGCGAGGGAGGGTGAAACATATCCACGCACAAGAGTTGAATGAATCTATTTCACACAGGAAACTGATGCGGATCCTTTTGGCACACAGTTCTCTTGTATGCACAATGATATGCGAGACTTGCCTGGTCACCTGTGTTTGGATATGCTAGATGGGACATGCAGAGCAGTCACAAATGAGGTGAGGATAATGTCACATCCGGTACGGTTTCTAACAGATGGCCAGTGTTGCCAGTGGTACAGTTTGGCCCTTTAATTGTAATAGTAAAAGAAGACCTGCACTAGCAGGGATGTGGCTTTTAAACTCATCTTCTTTCCTCTTAAAGGCTAATCAAACCTATTAGAGAATCATGAAGCAGAACTGGATTGAAGGGAAATAAATTTTGAGGCTTGTTTTAGATTCTGTAAGGCCACCTAAAAATGTCAACATTTGAAATTGTCTTGACTCCAGATACGGCATGGGAACACCAGCATTTACCATTCTAATCTGTTCAGCACTTATTTATGAGGAAGAAAACAGGAAAACATAAACAGTGTAAATGTATGTAGCCACGTGACATCACCTATTGGTTTATGAAACCCTGTTTTGAACTCTTGCCATTATAAAGAAACCTAGTAAAGGATTGGCTCATTGGCTGATGACACATGTTGAGGATTTCAACAAATGGACATATCCCGGATGACTCTCCTTTTTAACTATATAAGAATGGCCAAAATTTACAAAATGGCATTTACGTTTTATTCACTATGACCTGAAGCTAGGAACTGAGACCATAAACTCATAAGAAGAGTGTTTGCAGAGGTCACAGGGAAACTGAGGCGAGGACCATTTTCCCGAAGACTCAAATACAGCTCAGCAATGACTTTCAGGAAGTGAAAATCCAATTCGTATTCTCCATAGGGAATCTGACTATGAGCCATAATGTGGAAACAATCAAAAGTAGACTTAGTATAAGCTATGACATTCCTACAGTTTCCTAAATCCAAACGGCAACATATCTAAATGTGGATTTCAATGATACCATGGAAATTTTTAAATTAGCGAACGCCACATTACTTAGTCTACGTCCACATGCACATGGATATCTTTAAAAACAGGGATTTTTTCAAGTTTGTTTCCAAAAATATCTCTGTACTCAAGTTCCATCAAGATGATGAAGGATATCCATAACCCTAACCATATGGAAATGTTGGCAAGTCAGAAGCTCACAAACAATAAAATAGAATAGAGAATAGAATAGAATAATCCTTTAATTGTCCCACAAGGGGAAATTTGGTTGCAACGGCAGCCAGAAAGACACATATACAACAAACAGTACACAGGACACAGAACAGAAACACACACAGTTTGTCTTACATATTTACATTAAGGACAATGGTTACTATAAACAGAGTCCAGAAAAGAGATAGTGGCTAAAGAGATAAAGATAAATATCTTTGATGCTCTGAAACAAAAGCTCAGTTTTTCTTGTCCACATGTAGCCGCAGAAACAAAGTTTCTGAAAGTCTTCACCCTGGCAGGAGTTCTTTAAAAAAAAAGTCCTGTTTTAAAGCCTCGTGTTGTAGCCATCTTGGTTTAAAAGTACTGTACTAATATCCATGAATCTAGCATCCTGTTAGCTACCTTGCTAACTAGCTTGCTAGCTATTAATAGGCTAGCTACCTTCAACTACTTCTTTGCCTTCACAAACTCCTTTTATTCTATTGAATTATATACAGTTTAAACAACAAAAAACTCATGGTGTAAACAGCCCATTAAAGATGAAGAAAACAGATGCTTAGAGAAATATTGTGACTAATTGGCATTAGCAGGTTGCCAGCTAGCGCTAGCATGTCGGCGTCTCAGTAAGTTACATATTAATCACATATTGTATGAAATAAAACCACATAAATTTTACTTTTTTGTGTGACGAAAGCCTAAAGATATAATCTCTCTCTTTTTTTTAAAAATAACATAATTCTCAGTGTGTTTAAATATTTGGTGACCTTAAGTCTCCAATTGAAAAGCTGTGATTGAAATTTAAGAATTTCAGTTTTGCACTTTCACAGTACTATTTAGGCAGTTTTTGGGTGTCCAAAAAACTAAAGCAAAACTCACAATGTTCATTTGATCCAACTCTGCATAAAATCTTAAATATAAATATATATTTAATTGCTATATATAAATATAACAAGCCTGCTGAAATCCAAACACAGCGGCAACTAATCAGTCGCTGTAAATTCCAGATGTATTTTATAAACTGTCCCATCTGGCATGTCCATCAAGCGGTTGTTTTAACAATTAATAAGACTCATCTGTGAATATGCCACTACTCAGTCTACCATTCCTGGGACAGGAGTGGAGCGACCACTCACTGTGTGTTTGTGTATGTGTGTGTGTGTGTGTGTGTGTGTGTGTGGGTTTAACGCGTGTGCCCGGGATCATAGCCAATTGTAATGAACCATAGCAACTCTAACTGTAAACACAAACACGCAGAATGGTTTTTGTCAGCCGCTATACAGGACTTATAATTCAGTTTTTAAAAAGAAAAGAAATACCGTACAAGTGAGCGTGTAGAGCGCATGTGTGCGTGCGTGTGTTATTTTTCTTATGCAATGCTGTACAGAAATGTATATTTTTGTAATGTTCATCAGGGCATGAGTTACAAGACATGGTCGCTGCTGTGAGTCTGTTGTGAGTGTGTGTTTCTTCCTATTCTTCTGTGTTCTTCCTATAAACAAACGTCAAAAGTTTCTTTGGGGGGAAAAGTTGTGTGTCGGATATGCTTAAAAAAGTGCCATAATTTTTGACTTTCTAGTTTCTTATTTTTTGGTTTGTATATATCTTAAGTTAATCGGAGGGCAAAGACGCAAAGTCGTTAGAACCAGTAAATCTTTCTGACCTATATATACTTATTTTTTGCTCTAACTGCAGATAAACACAAGCCTCGATACAGATTGCAGTAAAGTGAAGGGTTTTATCTGTTAAAAAAGAAAGGGGGGGGGGGGGACAATCGCACTGATCGACAGGGAGACGGAGAGTTCGTGAGCAGCAGTTTTACGTCACAGAGTCAGGGCTCCGGTGACGTCATATTGTCTGAGTCGTGTCTAAGGGAGCAGGTCGTTTCAAAGACACCCCCTCCTCTGTTTGAAAAAACTTCACTTTTTCCTCCTCCCCATCGCTTTCACTCGCCTGCCACTCCCCGCCCCCCCTTTAGAAAACACCCTTTTCCCCTCATTTCTTTCTATCAATCCTTTTTACTCCCCCTCCTCTTCTTTCCATTCAGCCCGTCTTTGCCATCCTCAACTCCTTCCTCCCACCTCCCTCTGTCTCTTTCTCTTGTCTAACATTTTGCTATCCGTGGCCTGCAGGAAGCTAGTCGGTCAGGCGCCGTCTAAAGATAGTCCCCACCGAAAGCAGATTAAAAAGAAAAAGAGGAGTAGAAAAGAAAAAGGAGGGGTGGGAGTAAATAAGTCGAAATGAACCAGGGGGCAGAGGCAAACCTTCACCTTGCTGCGGTAGGCAGAAAAACATTGCCGGTCTTTGTTTTCTTCGTTCTCGTGTGTCTATTTTTATATACAGTCTCCTTATCCATCCTTTAAAGCCTCTTTTATTTTCTTGTGAGCACAAGCATTTACATGAAGGTTCTGTTTATTTGTGTTTTTTTGAAAAAAAGCAGGGTTTGGGGCGAGTGCCTACAGCAAATAAGCAGGACCAGCTCAACTGTCAGTCAGGCTTATAATGTGTCTCCTCTGTAACCTACAACCTGGCAGAGATTGTCAATTGATTTCAAAAAACCATTATAGAGCTAATTTTCTATCGGACCGAGTATGGCCTTCACGGACAGAAAAAGGCGTAGTTTTACGCATCGATGCTGTCGGTCCCGATGAGAAGCAGCACCGAGCGTGTTATTGGGTAACAATACTGTGATGTCAGAGAGCTAATATGATGTTCTTGAATCATTCTTCCTGGATTTCTATGATTTCTTACTGTGTTTCCTTTGATTTTTGCTCCTCTCGGGTTTGTGTGGCAACACGGTTGGCTCATGATTAAAAAGTACAAATGCACTTTATAAGATGGACATGTTACACATTGCACTTGTAAATGTCGAATGTAAAACCTTGAAGAGAAAGATTTATTTTTACTATTGTAAATAAATGAAAAGAGAAACAATGAAAAAAAAAGACTGCAAAAATTAAAAGAAGAAAAAGTGGAGAATAATTTGCCAAATAAAATAAAAAGAATAAAAAAGGGGAAAAATTCTGGAGTGGAGTAACGTCATTGCTTTGTAGGTTGTGTGACATTATTGGTGTGTGGGTGTCGTTTTCGAGTGTGTGTGGGGATTATGAGTGCGTATGAGTCAACATTGCAGGTCACTGTAGTGTAGAAGGAAAGCCTGGGAATAAAAAAGAAAAGATGGTGCTGAATTATTAAACCACTCCCTGCTTGCATAACAGCAGAGAAGGCGAGATATCCCGGCAGGGAGAAGAGGGATCGGGAAAGAAGAAGGGACAGATTCCAATAAAAGATGCAACACGCACACAAAAAACACGTTTGATATTCCCAGAGAAGAAAACAGGAAGCCCGGAGGGACAGGATGGTGGGAAAGGTGTGAGAAAGTGTATATGTATTTGTGTGGCAACCTAAAAACTAAAAGAAACACACACATTTGTGTGATCTACACGTCTTTAGGTTGGTGTATTCCCTGGAGACAACGATAGCCGTAGCGAGGGTGCTGCTGAAGGGTGGGGTCTTGATAAATAATTAACGGCGCTGCAGAATTGGTGACGCAGGTGAGCGTGTTTATCGTTTAACCTTTAATTAAGTTCTCGATAAACACGTTCGCCTGCTAGCGTGTGGGTGACAGCGTGAGACTTTAAAAGGTGATGTTCAAACTCCTTGACTCACCTCTATGCGGTCTCCACATGGAGGCGAAGAGCTCCGCCGTGTGGCCAGAGGTGAGTACTGCGCAGTCAGGAGACTAAGGGAAACGACGCAGCATCCACCCACACACACACACACACACACGATGGGCTTCTTTTACGTCATTACAGCATCTCTCTTGCAACAAGCACGAAGCAAAGCCCTTCTCCCCTTTTCCTTATCCTTACTGTCTCCTTCTCACTCTGTATGCACCCTTACACCCTCACTGAGTCACAGCACTCTCTCCACCATCTGCTGCAGGATGCTGCAAATCACCTCGATGTATGTGCATGTGTTCGAGGGAGAAACGAGCGCACAGAAGGTGGTGATGTTTCTGCATCTGTCGTGTCTGACTCGACACGCACACACATCCTGAGCCTGATATGAAACTGATTAACATTCGAATGGAGCCTGTGACGATGACTTACTCCATGTGGCGAGGAGATGATTCACGAGTGGACTTAATGTAAAACTGAAGGTTATTAAGTCACTGATCTGGCATATTTTAAAGTTTTCCAGGAACTGATGATTTATTTGGTAAATGGAGCATCTAATACACGTGACCCTGAAAAATGTGACATGATTTAATTCTCGCTGTTTGGCGCCACTGTGACATACAAAAACAGTCCCCTTCAGATGCACGGACAAGGGATTTGGTAAGTGAGAAGCCTTAATGCTACAAAAGCACAGCTATATACAACAGAGAACCTGTTATGTTTTCCTCTGTTTATTGTCATATTTATTCTGCTACATGCACATATTAAACATGACCAAAGTTTCAAATGATGAAATCAGCGTACAGTTATGGTCAGAAGTTTACATCCACCCTTCATGGGCATGAATGTCAGGGTAATTTTGGGCTTTTAATCATATCTTTGAACTGTTTGTTTTCCAGGGTGGGATGATTGGCCAGCACACATAGGCTTTAGAAAACAAGAATTAGGTGCACAAGTCTGAATTTATTTTTCTGAATTTCTCTAATCCACACATGGTCAAAAGCATACCATATACCAGTATTATTGACAGCAAAACAGCCCAGAGCATGATGGTACCACCACCATGCTTGACAGTTGGTATCCGGTTGTTCAGTGATGACGTGACGGATCCTACTTCCGGGCCTAAAGTAGTCTGCGTTTAATATGGCTTTTGTGTTGTTAACATGTTTAATATTATGTATTTTCTTCTATTTGATCTCAAAAAGCTCCTAAAACAGTCAGTGATCACTGTTGACCTCCCTTTATTACCGCTAATCATTTATTTAAGCTCAGTTTTTAAAACCTTAGGATGTAACTACAGCCCAGCCCATGCAGCAGTATATGAATGACTAACCTCGTATTGTGGATGGATTATCTCAGTTGTTCTCCTGGCTGAAGTTTGGTCCTTTTACAGCATCCTGCCATGCGATTACATTTGTTCCTGACCACCGAGAACACTCACGTTAACTTGTGGAAAAAAAGTTAGCTTGTTTATATTATGCTAACATAGCTGTGTTGCTAGCGGTCATGTAGCACATCATTATATACCAGCTAGCCAAACTTCAGTAACCCTACAAATGTCACTGCTGTTTAGTTTTCTGTCTTCATTTATGCTGGAAGTGATAACAGAGCTGTACGTTTTAATTTGTTTCCAAAACTCCGCAGTCAGGACATGCTATATTGTATTTAGATAGAAGCTAGCGAGCTAACTCCCTGCTAACTTCTAACTTTGTTAAATGTCATAAATTCCGTTTTCATGGATGCCTGGATGTTAAACTCAATTGTTACACCTGGTAGAGCAGAACGCTGATCATTTTATTAAAGATGAAAGACTTTAGACAGTTTTTCAACTCTCAGTAATGCCATAGTGATCGTTTGATATATGGACCTGCAGCGGAGTTTAGGCCCAGACACGGCTAGTGACGTCAGACTCAACGACCGGATAGGATTTTTAGGTTGTAAAGCTTCACCTTTATTCCTTCAAACATACCTCTTGTCATTGTGGCACAATTCGTTCACAAGCTACTGCTATATGAACACAGAAGGAAAACTCGACTTCGCCTAGGTTTTACCATGTGCGCTTTGGACTACCGTAACTCATCGACCATTTGAGCTAGAAAAAAAATTCACCTGATTACTGAAAGAAGAGAAGCTGCGCTTTACAGGGATATTTGGTGTATTACGGTAGCACAAACGGTTTGCAAGCTACTGCTCTGGAAAAAGAAAAGCCAACTCCACTTAGGTGCGCTTCACACTAGCGTAACTCCTCGACCATTTGGGCAAGAGAGACATTTCAAATGGTGACTAAAAGACAAGAAAACGAGCTTTACGAAACTTCACGGTGCATCATTAGGGGGCACAAGCTGCGACGGTCCAATCACATGTAAAAATTGATGACTCATGGAGCAGAGTGACGAGTGTGGAGAAGTGGCAACGCCCCCAAAAGGCCTGGATATTTTTTAACTGTTGTTTCATTGTCACAACAATACAATAATGTAAAATGACTTCCAGATATTGAAAGCTGAGGGAATTCTGAAAATAGGGGCAAAAGAATTAACTTATAATATGATTTTTGGCCCTTTTACAGCCAAAATTACCAAATATGTCGTGGCAGCCTTAATGATACATAATAATAATGGATTGCATTTATGTAGCACTTTTCGACACCCTCAAAGCGCTTTACAATTTTACTTGCTGTTGGAGGCAAGCTACAGTTGTAGTTACAGCTGCCCTGGGACAGACTGACAGAAGTGAGGCTGCCATATTGCGCCATTGGCTCCTCTGGCCATTATCAGTAGGTGGTAGGTGAAGTGTCTTGCCCAAGGACACAACGACCAAGAAAGACAGAGCTGGGGATCGAACCCGCAACCTTCTGGCTCACATTCGCACCTACAGCCACCTTAGAATAATGAGTTAATTTAACCACATGAATGTCTTTGGGATGCGGGAGGAACCCACACCGGCACAGGGAGAACAGACAGACGGAAAGCCAATGTCCAGATGTTGTATTTGAACCTGTGGACGCTTTTGCTGCGAGATAATAGTGCTACATACTCTTCATCCACCTATATTATAAAATTCATATTTGAGGTACAATTAGGTATGTAGTAGGGGTGCAACAATACACAAAATTCACGGTTCGGTTCGATACTTTGGTGTCACGGTTCGATATTTTTTCGATACAAAAAAATGTTCATGCCTTTTTAATTTGTCATTTATTAAAATTATAAATATATATTTTAACTCAAAAGTACAGTTTTTAAATTTAATGTTGCTGAAACAACAAAGTAATAAAAAATCTATCTGATCGAGAAATCACTCATCTTTGGAAAAGAGAGTTTATTACAGAGAAATGGCTCTTTCCAAAATAAAAGCTATACTATACGCTTCTTCTGGGCTATATTCTCAGCAGCATATTAAACATATCAGGTCCCCATAAGGAGAATCATGTGCTAACGGCTGTCTAAATGACTCGGGTAAAGTTTGTAGCATGCGTGCTTGTTGTTTTTGTCTGCTTCCACTTGTCTTTGCACTAGGATGATGTCGGCGTAAATGTGCAGTCATAGTCATAGGGTTAGGCGATAGAGGGATTGTTCGCACAGGGCGCCAAACAGGCTGGGACCGCCACTGACTGACCTGTACTGTTACTCTTTACCTTGTAGTCTTTTTGGGTCTCAGAGCAGCTCGACAAAAACTGCTTGTCACTTGAAAACTGTATTTGGTCTCCTTGTCCTCCCTTTAAAACTACAGAAATAATGCCAACAGTAGCTCACACAACTACTATGTACTGTTTTATGTGCCTCTATATCATTTAGAGAAGGTGATATTTTAATCAGTGGTGAATATTTATTTATCTCAGCGCAGGACGGACTCAAACACTTGTCCTCTCTTAAATACAGTCTGTGCAAGTCATCCTGGGAACCGGTTCCATCAAGCACATTTTTTATTTATAGACCTTTGATTCCAAAATTAGATCCTGACTGAAATTAGGAGCAAAAACAAAGCAAAGAACAAAGCAAAAGGACTATCCATCACCAAGACATTTCTGTTTCTGAGCATGGGTCAGCTGTAGGTTTTTAGTCCCAAATAAAAGCTATCTCTTCATCATTCCAGCATTTCTGCAGTGCTTGTTGTTTTTGCCACTGAACTGTCTCTCGCTCTCTTTTTTTTCTGTTTCCTTCACTGCTGTGTCACCATCTGTGCCCCAAAATGACTCCTCTGTCCAAAACAGCACCCATCGGTTCCTCCTCCACCCTGCCAATGGCCCAGAACGGCACGGCGCTGGGACCAAACGCGTCACCAGCAGTAGGCGTGTCACAGCGCTGAGAACATAAAGTGATGATGGCTGGATTTACGTCATTGCTGTGAAATGACAGATACTGCTGAGTAACACTTATCAGATTTGATTCTCTGTGAGAGAGGGGCTGGTAAGGTTTGCTTCTTTGTAACAAAATTTAAATGCACATAATTTGACCTGATGTTAAGGGGAAATGAATGCCAGAAAACATCAAATCATGTGCGTCACAGGATGTCTAACAACTATCAATGTATAAAAATCTCTCTATTATATCCTCCTGTTATAGAAGACTGAACGTGCCCAAATACAACTATTAATCTTATTTTAAATTGATTAAAGTTAACTGATAATTTGAAAATAAGCAAATACCTAATCAGCCAATCTTATGGCGGCAACTCAGTACATTTAGACATGTAGGCATGGTCATGGACAACCTGCTAAAATCTAACCTCAAAATGGGGAAGAAATGTAATCCTAGTGATTCGATCCCAACTGATATGCTGGGATTTTTCCACACAACCAACCATCAAAAGAGAAAATATCCAGTAGGTGGCAGTTTACTGCGTGAAAATGCATTGTTGATACCAAGAGGTAACGGTAACTCAAATAACCACTTGTTACAAACAAGGTATGCAGAAGATCATCTCTGAGTCTGTAGCAGAAAAAGACCACACCGACCACACAACTCAAGAGTCTCGATTTCTGCTGTGACATTCAGATGGCAGGCTCCATCCTGTCTCATACGAACAGTGATGTAATGCAGATGTTTTCTTAGCACGTTTTGCGGTGAGTGTTTTCACATGTGGCTGAGGGAAAAAAACAAAGGTGGGCTACAAATGATGATCCATTAGTGTGTCTACGTTAACCACAAGGGACACAAAAAAAACAGGTCTGTGACTAATGCATAAAACCTAAAACAAAAGTACAGCATACACAGTTTTGTTCACCATTTATTAGCTATAGTTACATGCATACTTGCTTACAGTTGATTTTAGTGTGCAGTACACAGTTTCATTTAGTTTCATTGTCTAGGTTATATTACCCCAATTTTACTTTACAGGCTGCCTTACCAAAAGAAGTCTTTACAACATAGTTCGTTTTTCACATTTTCAACACATAACAAAGTTTTCTTAGAAGCCAGTAGCCATAGATACACAAGGTACGCTTGATATGCGAGGTCTCTGCTTTTGTTGCCAGGACCGGAAAAGCTGTCAGCACATCAAACAATACGGGAAGTAGCAAAATCGTCAAAGTCACAGCTTTACATTCTTAGAAGCTGCAGGGTCACCAGCTACTCCGGGCAAATTTCATGACTGAGTATATCTATGGCTCCAGCACAACAACACGACCATAGAATAAACAATCAGAACAATCAGACCACTTTTCTCTAGGTTTTTGCATCCTCCATTACGATACAACCTTCTTCCTTTTTTTTTTTTTAAATTCTAGGTAAATATTGGCCAGGTCTGTTGCAAATCCACTCTCTATCTCTTCATATGTGCTTTTTTTGCTTCAGTAATAATGTCTATAAACGCAGGCCTTGGCACAAATCCTTAAATCTTATTCTAAACATTCAGGGAGAAAACCAAGAACCTGTCCACTCATTGTCCGCCCTTTAGTCCAGTTGTGAATCTCCAGCAGAGTGCAGTTGTTGAGTTAATTGAGTTTATATACAAGAACAAAAAAATTAAAGCTACTTTTGAGCCCTGTCCCTTTTTCAGAATCATGTCGTTATTGGGAATAAACCTGCACGGGTAAAGGTGAAAGTACTGAGCAGTCTGAACAGTCTCAGATACAGACTTAGATTATTACAGCAGGAGATATGGAGGTCGAGATTAGGCCGAATGCTGCTGAACACTTTACATGTGCAAGAGTAATTAGACATTGAAGTTAGTGATTGTACAATTAAAGAAAACAGCTGTAATGTACAATTTAGACAAATGTGGAGTCCCACCAAGCACCACATGTCCACTGATGTCGTCCCCCCCCCTCTTTTTTTTCTGAGCTAAATATGGCCGGCTAGTCAAAACTGTCATATTTTCAGGCTACTACAATATTGTGCAAAAGTCCTGATCCATCCCTCATCTTTTTGCATTTTGGAAGTAGGTGCAGTACCTTAGTTTCATGCAAACATACATGTAAATACAGCATATAAGGAAAAAGCTGAGTTTGTATAATTCTAACAGACTTAAAAGTCAATATTTGGTGTGACAACCTTTATTCTTCAGCACAGCCTGAACTCTTAGACAATATTTCTTGTAATTTCTTTAAGTAGGAGTCGTTCTCCAGGCTTCTTTAGGGACATTCAAAGCTCTCTTTGGATGTTGGCTGTCTTTAGATGATCCCACACAAATTCAACAATATTGAGATCTGAGCTCTGAGAAGACCAATTCATGACTGATAGCGTTTCATTGAGTGTGTTTTTCTATCCAGTTATGATTTTACTGCATTGGCAGTGTGTTTGGGGTCATTGTCATGTTAAAAATTAAGTTGCTGCCAATTGAATGATTTACCAATGGTACTTTTCTGTGTTCACAATTCACATTAATTTTGACACAATCTCTAAAAACCACTGGCTGAGATGCAGCTCCAAACCGTAACACAGCCTCCACCGTGTTTTACAGATGTCTGCAGACTCTGACCTTATTACATCACTCCATCAGACCTGTTGTCACTGTTCAGTCCAGTTCTTGTGTAATTTGACATACCTCAGCCTTCCTGACAGCCACCCTTCCACTTCCACTGATTTCTAATGAGGCTTCAGTGAACAGTAGACGGATCATCTGAAGGTTCAGATGCATCTCTCAGGTCTGTTTCAGGTCTTTGTTGGATTTTTTTCCTATTTCTGACTTTTAGACAAAAATACTATTTATCTGTCAATTTTTCTTAGATTCAGCAAGAAAAATTAAAACCATTAAAACTTTGCAACAGGTTGCTAGTTACAAAGTACCTAAAGATACAATTTAAAATTATCTGTAAAGTTATCCTTGAATGAGTCATAGGTCAGTGTTAAGTCTCTGAAAATGAGTGAACAAGCAGCCAATGTCAAAGAAAATTCTGAAAGACCTTCACAAAGTCTGGAGAACTGTTACTCAAAATTTACAAGAAAGCCACGCTGCCTGGAAGCAAATATTTAAAAAAAATGAGGTGACTCAAGATTTTTGCACCATACAGCTTAATTCTAACCATGAATCCACAATTATGCACCTTGATTCATGAATCACTTTCCTTCTTAACAGCCTGAAAAAACTATTTTCACCTTTAACTTTTCAAATCTAAAAGTTGTAGAGCAAACGTTTTAATGTAATCTTCCACATGTACACTTGTACTTTTTTTGGTTAGGTGGGACCGTTGAATATCAGAAACTGTTCAGAGCGCACGTTTTCCTCACAAATTAAAAACCGACTGAAACGCTGTTGGGTTAATATCTCTGCCGCAGTGCTAGCACACGGAGGAGTAGAACTCCACTTCCCACAATGCTTTGCAATTAAAGGTTGCAGCATTAACAACAACAAAGAAATCAATCAACTGAAAAGAAAACTAAAACCAATATTAGAATTTGTCTTTGCAGGATAATGTTTAAAGGTCAACCTGGTAACAATAATAACAAAAGATCACCCTTTACGTGGCTTCTGTGATATACCTGTTTTATCTGGTACCTTCATCCTGGCCTGGACAGTTAGAAAAGCCTAAAATAAATCAAAATGAACAACTCACTGCAGCACGTTTGAAAAAAGAAAAAGCACATTATAAAAACACTACAGTCCAACCAGCTCATACCGAGGATTAGCCAAACCTATACCGAAAACAGAGAAGAGAGAATATACTGTAGATTACTGCCGCGAGCCTCTTACATTTATGTATTTATAGTCCAGGGGCTGCGTTCACAAAGCCTCCACAGACAGCAGTGCTGACCCAGGGTCGAGTGAAGGAGTGGACATGACCTTTGACCCTTGGGCTTTGTGAGAGCTGCTCCAGCTGTGGTTTAAGTGTGGAAGCGTTTATAATAAGACCAAGAGCACAGCACACAGTCACTGGCTGAAATGTCAGGCTTCACTTTATGAACGAATACAAAAAATACCAAAAACGAATTTCATGATAGTCACTGTTCAGACTGGGCAGATGGGGCTCAATTATTCAATGAGAGGGAAACTCGAACGAGGCTGCTGGCGCTTGTTTTCCCACACCAGCTTCATCCTGGGTGGGTGGAGTCTTTTATCACAGTTTCATCACACTATTCTAACGTTAGAAGGTATGTTTTTAGGAAATGCACTGACCCAACCCCTTTTTTTGTTTTTGAGAGTTTGGCTGTCCAATCACTTTTGTACCTGGAGAGCCAGCTTCCACATTTCTCTGTGTAGTTTCTGCCTGTAAGCTAACGCCAGCGTACTGCGAGCTCATAAACACACCTGTGACATAAAATATTACTCTGAGCATTTTGAATGCTGCTGATCGTGTGTTTGTTTGATATTATGAATAGGACCTCTTTAAAAGAGCTGTATAATCATGTCGAGGAACATTTTCCAGAGGGCTCAAATATGTTAATGCATATTATCTGGCTTTGAGAATAAGATTATTTGCTCATCGGTGGCCCAACAACACTGGAACTGGTTTGTTTACATGTCCCAACTGTAGAAATATCCCACCAGCATAATCTGTATATAAAAGATGGCCCCAGCTAATGGTCTGAAAAGTGAAGCCAACATGAAAGCTGGAGTCTTTCTTCAACCAGCAGGGGGAGACCTCGTGTTGTACATTAATCGATGGGAAACCCCCTAATCTTTCTTCTTCTGTGACTTTACGTGTCGATGTTGCACGTTCTCCCTGTATCATTGTAACAGTCAGGAAGGTCTCACTAACTAACGGTAGGCCCAAAGCTCATAGAGTGTACAGCATGTACGTCCAACAGCTAACTAGCACTTGTTTATGGCTGTGTAGCTTTGAAATGCTTTCTTAAAAATGTAATTTCATACGTCCTTTGTAACTTAATCCAACCCCATTAGTTTTTCCTTAGTACGCTAGTGGCTCAGTCACACTGGAGTAAAAACCTCAGAAGAAAAAAAAGGTGGTTACCTGGTAATTGCATTGAATTTTTTTTGCAATCACCAACAGACTTCAAGTAGATACAGCAACTAACTGGTTGTCCAGAGCTTCAAAATGCTGCACCGCCAACCTTCTGGGCTTTCACCTCGACTGCACAGGTTGCCTGGTGGGAGGCAATCGGTCTCCAAACAAACGCAGACTGACTCGAACACTTGACTCTCAGACTGACTGGCAAAGGTTTGCAAATCACTGTCCTCTAATTTCTAAACACCAGAGAGCACAACTCGTCTATAACGCGTCTCTTTGCAATAGGAGACTCAGCTCAGCTGGTTGCATACTAGTTATATTCCTATATAAAAGCAGGGTTGTTGAGTGCATGTGTCAATGTGACTGAATCATAAACTAACGGTGCTCTCCAGACAAGCGTCTCCAGCTGTACGTCCCTCCGCAGAGCACTTTTATCTCCCGTTAGCTACAGCTACATTAGCCACATCCTGTTAGCATGCATGACAGCTCACTACACAGAGATAATGCTGCTCCTGCTGTCTCACGCTGGTTCAGATGAGCCAAACTCTCAAAAGGTCAGTGTCTCCAAAGGAAGGTGTGCGTGTTTCATAAACAGGCATGACCCAGAAAGCTAGCGAGTTATCTGCTAATAAGCTATTTTTCTTTATTTTCCCTGATTATCCTTACTCGTTTCCATAAATCCTTTCTCAACATTTGGTAGAGGAGTTAAGATTGCACTATAATTAGTTTGTCTTGTGCTATATACCTTGTGTTTTGTAAACACGTCGCCCCCATACTCACCAGGGGCCCACCTGCACACAGAGCCTGTAATATTGCTAATAGAGCGTGTAGGGGAGGGGGAGCTGCTGAGTACTGAGTGTTGTTAAAGGTTAAAAATAAGCAGATGTGGGGCTGAAACAGTGTGTGTGGTTACTGTGCCATACACCCTGGGTGGCTGGACACAAAAACCTCTCTGGTTTAAGTTCACAAACAGGTGTGTGAGAAATGTATGACTGATATTCTTTTTTAATCAGACTTTTTTAGTTGATGATGAACATTAAAACTAACCAAACCCCTTAAGTTTCAACTTAGCATCACATTTCTCCCCCTTTAACTCTCCCCGCTTCATCTCTCTATTGTTTTTTCTTCTTTTAGTCGGACCATTCGTTCTCGTCGAGCTCGGAGTCGTCGTCGGACTCGCTGTACTCCACTGCGATACGACGCGACAGGATCGTGGCCACGTCGTTACCAACGGGCTCCCTCTTTGCCTCCTGCTCCCTCTGCTCCTGCACCTTCCTCAGCTGGATACCTGGAGGGGGCAGAGGAAGGGCGGAGTTAACAAAAAAAAGATAATTTCTATTAAGAAATAAGTAAATTCTTGGGGGTTTTTTTATAGTGTAAAACCTTTAAAACATTTAAAATTTCTTTATGTGTTTGTTCCACCAAAATCAAACTATTTTGGATGCAAAGGCATTTTTCAGTTATTCAAACTCATCCATCCTGGTAGTTTTAATGAAATAAATTTGTTTGTAAGCAACCAAAATGAAACGTAGCTGTGTTAACTTCCCTGCTCTATGTGGGTGCTAATAATAAAGACCCTGTGCGTCCCTTCCTCATACAGACGCACTCACCTCTACGTATGGCCGCCAACAGGTCGGAGCGGGCGTCGCTCATGGGGATCATCCCCAGCATGGTGGACTTCCTCGTCGAGGGTGCTCCGTCCACAGCTGACTGACCGATAGCGGCGTGCGGGGGTGACGGGTGGGCCTGGTGGCCCACGGGGGCTCCCGGAGGAGGAGGAGGAGGGGCGGCCGGGGGTGCGCCTGAAGGCGGGTGGGAGGGGGAGGGCACGTAGTTGGCTGGGGGAGGAGGAGGAGAGGGTGAGTAGGGACGGGAGAGGGCGGAAGAGGTCGGGGGGACAGCGGAGGTGGCGGAGGGCGGGGCGTTGGTGGAGTCGAAGGCGGTCTGGGCAGAAGGGATGGTTAGTGGGGGTGGGGGAGGGGCCGGCGGGATGTAGTACTCGGGGATGGTGGAGGGCTGCCCTCTGGTGATGGAAAGAAGTAAATTAAAGATTTTTAATGAGTAGAAACAAACTAAACGCGAACAAAGCCGTAAAACAGATCAAGCAATAACACGCAGAAAACAAACCCGTGTGCGGCGCGGTAGTCCTTAACCGACTGCTGCCTCGGCCCGTTGACTGTCGGATCTCCTCCGGCCTGGACGCCGTGTCCCGAGGGGGTTCGGCCCAGGGAGGCCACGTGCCGACCTGTTGCCGCAGCACCGCCTGCTCCCGGGGGCTGGTTGGCCGGCCTCAGGCCCCGATCCAGTGACTGCGTCTGGGCCGCGGCACTGAGGTGATCCCTGGTGTGGTGGTCGGCGGGGTGGGCAGTGCTGGAGGCCTGGGTGGAGGGGTGGTTGGGGCTGGCTGGGTAGGAGTCGGACGCCATTGATCTGTTGGAGAGTTGTAATTGAAAATTAGAGGGCAGGTAGGAAGGAGCAGTGAATCATGATAACAACAGAAATGTTAGATTTTCTATTCCTTGTATTATTTCCTGCTCTGCCACAGCAGTGACTTCAGTCCCTAATGAAAGTCAACCTCATCTTTTCCTCCAACCTGCTGTGACGCAATCCAGGTGCTCTGCACTACATTTGCCAGAAGAGGGCAGCACAGAGCTGTAAACGACACAGTAAGCTGGCACTTCTTAAATCTCTGTATTAAGCAGGTATGTGCTTAAATTATGTGACACTTATAGTGGCTGTGTAACAACGCCAGCTTACTGTGTACTATTTATAGTATATGAATAGTATTTATAGGCTTTAAAGGATGAGAGAAACACTCATCCAATGCCCATCCTCAAACACTGACTGTACACATAAACTAGAACAGGAAACAGGACCTCAGAGACAAACCTCACTTGTAGCTAATGTATGTGTGTGTGCACACGTGTGTTTACCTGCTATCTGGGGACAGTGAGCCTTCAGAGGACATGCCGTGGTAAGGGGAGGGGGCGAGCCTGGCGTCTGGTCTGAACTCTTTGTCGTAGGCCAGGACGTTCCACTCCTGGCGTCGGTTACGAGCTTTACGCACCTTCAAGGTTAAACCGGGAGAAACGGACACGTTACACTGCAGTTACAGGTAAAATTATATATGTATATAATTATAGTAATGGAGTTTAGAAAGATTAAGCTGCTGTATTACATCTTTCTCCTGTAATCCTTTCACAGTCACTACCTTTAGAGCGGAGCATTAGAACAGCTGTACCTCTATTGCACCCTACTAATAGAAAATAGATTTTTACTGTCTCTACTCCAGTAGCAGCATTTACTAGAGATGCCTTTTAAAATGATTAAGAGCTCTCCACACTAACAATGTGGTCTCTGCTCTTTTTATTCCACTTTTATTAAGTATTTTACCAGCAAATTCACTTTTCTTTGGCTCTAAGCAGCTTTGTGATTTATTTTCTTCTTCATCAGTTCTTGATGGTACTGATGCAGTTAGGATGACTGTATAAGACCAGCTCAGATAATACATCTGCTAAAGTGCCGAATCAGTGTAAATGAAGGAGGAAGGTCAGATTACTCTTAGTAAGCCAGTAAATTTGAATTAAAGTGATTTTTCATGGGTGTCAACGATGGAAATCAAAGCTAAACTGAAAGAAACACAATATTCCCACAAACGTCGGGGAGCCCGGAGTCATTTGGGGTCCAAGGAGGAGGAGATATGTAAGAAAAGACTGATGTTTAAGGACAGTAACGTGCTTTGAAATGTGCAAGTGTTTACTCAGTTCCAAAAAAAGCACATAGAAAACCTGTCTCCAAACCAGCTGATTATTACAAACAGATTAAGCGTGACTGCTAACTTGACCCCTTTGATCTACAAACTGATAACACCGTGTATTCTGACAGCTTCCTATCAGAAGCAGCATTAACGTTTTTCAGCAGTTTGAGCTACAGTAACTCGTCTGTTGGATCGGACCACACGGGCCAGCCTTAGCTCCCCAATCATCAGTGAGCCTTGGACGTTCATGACCCTGTCACTGACCACTGCAGACCAGGAACAACCCACAACATCTGCGGTTTGGAGATGCTCTGATCCAGTTGTCTAGCCATCACAACTTGGCCTTTGGTAAACTCACTCTAGTCCTTATGCTTGCCCATTTTTCCTGCTTCTTACTCATCAACTTTGAGGATAAACTGTTCATCTTCTCTCTAATATATCCCGCCCACTAAGAGCTGCAACGATGGAGAGATAATCAGTGTTGTTCACTTCACCTGTCAAAACTATGATCTGCTTTATACTCTGTTAAAAACTGTTCATTAAATGATTGTATAGAGGATTTAACCGCTTGCTTTACTCTTGTTTTGTTGATAACTCTAATTAAATGACCATTAATAATAAACTTAGTAAGTGATTACTGACCTTCTTCACTTCTCTGCTCGGGTCTTCAACCTGCCTCTGCTGCTCCTACGAGTGACACACAGACACACAGAGGAGCAGAGGGAAACTCAGCTGTTGGCTATTTATTTATTTACTGTGTAAAGGGAAATATAAAAAAGCTCAACCCCATCACCAGCTCCTTCACCACGGGGTAAATTCACACTGACCCAGCCCCCAACACACACACACACACACACACACACACACAGTGTAAGCACCACCCAGTCACTATTCGACAACACCAAAAACACCGGTACAGATGACAGAGCCAAAACTTGTGGGAGCACAGGACAGCAACCAAACCAAACACGGAGGGTTAGCAAGACGGTGAGGTGTTAAGCTGAGGTGACATTAAACACACACACAGACAAACAGGAGGGAGTGTGTGTGTGTGCGTGTGTGCTGGCATTTATTTAGTACTTTCATGTGTATCAGCGTGTCTCAATGGTGTTAGGACATGTCTGCTTTGATAGGTGAGTATGTAATGTGTGCTAGTGGGATGTGTGGGGAGGAAGTGGAGGGAGGGGAAGTGGGGGGGGCAGAACGGGGGCAGGTTAGGTTAGGGGTCGGGGTTGTCTTACAGAGATGGACAGGGGGCTCCTGGGTTGGGCCTGTCTGGAGTGGGGCCTGTCAGGGTGGGCCGGACAGCCCTATGGAAACATGGGAGAAAGACAAGCTGGTGCGTTAGACTGAGCAGAGGAGGCGGAGGAGGAGGGGGTGGGGGGTGTCTTCAAAGGCCAGGAAACTAAAGATAGAGAGAAACGAAGGAGGAGGCGCTGTGGGAGGAAAGGATAGAGGTGGAGGAGCCATCCTCCTGCAGCACGCTCGGGCTCTCGGACCTGTTGAGTAACAGCTGAAGCTGCGTTGTTTCGGAGGTGGGAGGGGGGGGAGGTTCTGCATGGTTTCCAGGTCGAAGGGAGGGAACAGAAAAATGTGAGCAGCATTAAATTCAACAGAAATATTGACCGAACTGCAGCAAACACATGCAGCAGCAGCTGTTGAGCGGTTACAATCACCAACAAAGGAAGAGAGCGCCAAAGGAAGTGTGAAGGGGAACACCACCGAAGCTCAGCTCTGAAATACTCGTAGCTCAGTTCCTATTAGTTTGAATGGATTAATAAACGAGAGCAATGGTGGTGTGCTGGAGCTCCTTTCAGTGCTCCAGGTTATTGGTGTTCACGTAGACCAGCGCACAGACCTGCAAACTGAATGCACTACTTTAAAACAGCAGGACACAGTTCAGTTAAATCCAGCAGGAAGTGAGCGTACAGTAGTGTGCTAAAGACTTGAGTCACCTCTGGTTTCTTTACATTTTTGTAGGAAAATGGGAAATATTCTTATTCTTCAGCACAGTCAGAACTCTCTTATGGAAGCGTTCTTGTAATTTCTTTAAGCAGTCTTCGGGAATAGTTCTGCGGGCTTCTTCAAAGACATTTAAAGCTCGTCTTTGGATGTTTCCTCCTTTTCCCCAGATTTGAAGAATGGGCCGGGTGTGTCCTTCGTGGCCCACCATATCCCAGAATTCATAGCA